ATGCTTCTCTGGCCAAAGAGGGAGTTTCTGCAGTACCAAATTTGGTCTGTGTATTTGGCTCTGCAGGAGCTGTGGTGGTTACCTTTCTATTGCTCTGAGAGGAATAGGAAACACTGGATGGAGGGGGGGGTGGTCCTGTAGTGGTCTTACGTATGTGGACAGCACACCAGGTCCTCTGCAAATTGCCATGTTCCAGGCTTCACAGTGAGCATTGTAGCCTTAAAGAGCAACACTCTTCCACTCCTCTCCTGTCTGCTGGAAATTAGAGATGGTGCAGGTTTTAGGGGGCCACAATCCCTTTATCCCACTACTGGCTGGGTAGTCACCAGCTGTTTCAACCAGGTTTGTTGCCCTTGACACTGTAGGTACCCATGTTGTGGCATCATACTCTTTACTAACTTGGTTTGGTGGGCATTGCTTGGGCGACATGTTAGAGAAAGGGGGAGGGGGGTGTCAGGCCACTGTAGGGGGCTAGCAAGATTCGCTATTGTGTCCCCTGTGTGGTATTTCAATACAAGGTGCAGAAGGGGAGACATTTGAAAATGCCTGTTAGCCATTGCCTGCAGTATCACTCCTGTTCTCAGGGTCATCTCTCCCACCCTCGAGAGACCCAGGGTCAGCTGCAACTATTGATTTCCTGACGGTCACGTTGGAGGGCTTATTTACACCTATACCCAGACAGACTTCAAAAACACCTTTACTTACCCAATATTCCACTCTTGCAGGCTCCCTCCAAGCTACTGGAGACTGCAGCCTCTTTTTCAAAGGCCTGTCTTCTGCCCTTTCTAGTCTGCCAAATCCAGCATGTGGATAGATGCAGCATGGTATAGCGGCTGTAAACAGTATACACTGAGTCCAGTTGCAATAACAACACTTGTACTGAAGTAATAGCCCAAAGATACAAACAGTCCCATGGGAGGGCACCCAACTGGGAACACTCAAAGTTCTGTGTAAACTTGTAGATTGGAGCAGGTTCTGATGCACCGACAGCATCTGTCTCTGAGGGCGGCAAAAGGCCTGGTTAGTCTGAGCCCAATGGGGAGGATTCAAATGCACAAGGGCATGTCCATAGCCTGTCCCTACTCTTCCAGAACCCTTTCCTAATACTATTCTCTCTCCCTGATAGGCGGGTGAACTGCCCCTACACTATCCTCTCGGCAGAAAGCATGTCAAAGCCTGGGGAGAGGCACTTAAAAACCCTCTGCTGACCCAAGATAGCTACAAGGGCCATCTGGATGCATCATAGCCAACCAGAATGCTGCCTTTGGATCACAGAAGTCATAGAGAAAACAGGTTTCTCTTGCCTTCTTCTCCAGTTGAAGTACCACTACAGCAGAGAAGAAAGACTGCTCCTGCCTACACTCCCAACATCTTTGACAGATGCTGTCCTCAGCATTACAATACAGTAAGAATAACATGAAGCCTACAAAGGCATGGCTAAGGCAGAACAGTGAAAACAAGTTCAAACAACATAGTCTGAGTATCCTGCAGAAAGCTCCCCGAGAATGGACCGCAAAGGGTGATGATTCACATGGTCATCAGTAGAGTCACGTACAAAGGGTTCATCTTCTGGTTGTGACTCTGGGGCCACAGGTGGTAGGGGGGTCACCTGCAATCTCTCTACCCTCCTCATCTGGCCCTAAGACTATGTCTCCAGACACATCTGAAAGGTCTGTTGTTCTGGAAGGAGCTACTGGATCTTCCATAGCCCCGGTGCCTGAGATCTCTGTTTTCGAGTTGCTGGAGGCTGGGGGTTCGAACAAGAGAGGAGGCAGGAAACATTCATTGCATAGGTGGAAGATCCACAGGGTCAAATGATTCCCAGTCACCAGAGCAGGATTGTTGGAACAGTTCCCACTCAGCACACAGAGCTTCAGCATGTTACAGTTAAGATGGCTCTTCACAGGGTTGGGCCCCTCGGAGACCACGTCATATACTGGCGTAGAAGGGAAGGGCTGCCCTCCACCCAATATGGGGTACACTCCTACTTAGGCTCCAATTTACTGCCCCTGATGCTCTTGGTGTTTTGCACTAACACCCGGTCCCCTGGTTGCAATACTACCGGGACAGAGAGCGTTCAGAGGATTCCAAGAGAAGGTCCACGGGCATTCGGCTACAATGCCCAAACATGAGAAAAAGGGCGTGTGGCTGGTGGACCGGTGGGTGGTATTGTTGTAGGCCAACACTACAGCTCCCACATGTTTGTGCCATCTGTCCTGGTAGGTTAGCTCAAGGGTTTGCAGCATTCCTAACAGGGTGCAGTTGAACCTCTCACAGACTCCATTACCCTGGGGATGATAAGGAGTGGAGTTGGATTTCTATATGTCACTGAGGTGACACAATTCAGTCATGACCTTCGATTCAAAGTTCGGGTCCTGGTCTGAGAGTATGCGTTTTAGGTAGCCATATGGCTGCACAATATGCTCCCAGAATAATTTGGCTCTAGCAGAAACTGTCTGGTCCTTGGTGAGTACTAATACCACAAACTTGTTGAAATGGTTGACGAAAACCAGCGCATATTGGTAAACTGAGGATGAGCAACATCATCAAGAAACCCATGGTGACCTGCTCAAGGGCTCAGGGGTGGTAATAGTCATGGGTGTTATCTTTTTGGGAGGGGCTTTGTGTATCGTACAGCCTTGTGCACCCAGTCTGACAGCTTGTAGGCAGAAGAAGTACCTCCTGACCAGGTACTCTGATCTGCCCCAAAGTGCTTGCCCTCTGCATGGAGCACCTGACAAATCTGCAGTATGTGTCGCGGGAGGTCTTGATACCTAATGGCATAGCACCTTATGCTGCGTCTCAAGCAGATTGCAATGTCTCAGGATTGCTTCAGCGATGGCGGACAGTTTTTTACATTCATGGGAGGTTGGCCTATGTTGTTGGAAGAGGTCCGGATCTTTCTGCTGGATCAGCGCCCGGTCCTCCTGATTGTAGAGTTCAGCAACTTTTTCCTGCGGGCCTGTGATCTGTTCTTTGAGAGCGTGAGGCAGCCGATGTAGGCAAGACAGGGGCGACATCTCTGCCCTCCTGGCTAGGGTCCACATCCTCCCCAGGGTGCTCCACCGGGAACCAGGACAGGCTGTCTGTGTGCCCATTGAGCCTTCCTGGCTGACTATGAATTTTGAACTTGAATCATGCTAGACGTGCAATCCACCTTTGCTCCAGCTCCCTGAGTTTTGCAGTGTCCAGGTAGGCCAGGGGGTTGTTGTCAGTGAAAACCTCTATATCGGCTCTTGTGAGGTATTCCAAGAACCTTTTAGTAATGGCCCAGACTAGGGCTAACAACTCTAGCTGAAAGGATCTGTAATTATGGGGGTTCTTCTCTGTGGATCACTAACTATGGCTCGCGTAAGCAATCACTTGTTTAAAGCTGTCCTGCACCTGAGCCAGGATAGCTTCCAGACTCTGGAGACTCCCATCCCTGTATACTCAAAACAACTTGGTGTAGTTTGCGTAGGCCTACAACAATGCTGAGGTCAACTTCTGCTTTAGTGCCTCAAAGGCCTTCTTGTTAAGGGCCCTGCCACTGGACCTGTATTGAAGGAGAAGCCCCACTCCTTTTCTGGGTGGCGTGTCTGCTTAGCAGCTGGGTAAGCTGGGCGGCTATCTGAACAAACCTTGTGATGAACCAGCTATAGTATCCCATCAGCCCCAAGAAGTGGTGTAGTTCAGTGACAGTCTTTGAAGGGTACCATTCTTGAACAGCTTGGAACTTGGCTGGGTCCAGGGAGACTCCTACAGCTTTCACAATGTGCCCAAGTACTAGATTTTCTGTCTCATTAAGTGGCACTTGACACTGGGCTTGAGTTTTAACCCACACTCTGTAAGCTGCGAGAACACCAGGTCCAAGTTCTTGACAAGGTCCTTAAAGGTCTTGGAGAAGACAATAAAATCGTCCAGGTAGACTAACATGGTCATGAAGTTGAAGTTTCCTAGGTATCGCTCCATTAAGCACCGGAGAGATGACACAGGGCTGGGGGAATGTGGCAGCACTGTTCTTTAATGGGTAGTGCATCCCCTGTGTAAATCAGATGGTCAATGTCGGGTTAACCCATAGTGTTCTGGACAGGTGGCAAGTACTAGTAGTTGTTTCTCCAGTAATTGATAGTCTTTGTTGCGTCAGAGGAAAGTCTTGATGAGGTATGTCCAACTGTTCCATCAATAGTTTGTATTGGAACTCGTCTAATGACATCATGGCTGCCTGTAGAGACTGCTTCCACCCCTAGTTGGTCCTCGGAGATGCAGTGACAAGGCGCTACATAGAGGTCCGCTATAGTGGCATGGCTGGCTGGGGAATGTTGTTGGGGTGGATTGATGGGCTGTACCAAAACTTTCCCTTTGAAATTTTTTGGACAAGGTACGGCCCACTAGCCACTCTCTTGGTCCCACAGAGTCCATGGGTTCAACCATAACCATCCCTGCAACCAGCCAACCAGAATGCTGCATAGGGGACCAAGGAAGCCATAGAGTAACCAGGTTTCTCTTGACTGCCTCTCCAGCTGCAGTACCGTTCTGGCCAAGTGCCAACTACAGTCGAAAACAGAGACTGCACTTGCCTACAAGCGTGTAGTGGAACATCAACTAGCCTTAAGAACAATTAAGGGTCAGGTTTCAGCTTTGATGGTTTTTTCCAATGTGTGCTGGCATCATTGCAACTCATCCATGCTTTTATTCAATCTATTACTGTCTGTTTGCAAAAAACACCTTTTGCGAACATAAGAGAGATCCGGCTGCTGGCATTGTATCAGGAGGTTAAAGAGGTACCACATAAGGGCCTTGCAGAGTCAAATGCAAACATCTCATACTGGTTCTGGCACACCATTGTACAAACATATATCATACATCAAGAACCACCATTTCCAATTGCAGCACACTCTACCAAAACATTAAGTGCATCTTAGGCTTTCCGACTTCAGGCCTCAGGTTTCAAATGTGTAGAGTAGCCACTTTTTTGTCTGTTTATATATTCACCAAAACTAACAAGGTTGATGTGGCAGTATCAGGGGCGGACTGGCAACTCATGGGGCCCCCGGGCAATAGGGGATCATGGGGCCCCTGTGTCCTTGCCCAAACTCAAAAAAGCCTATGAAAAAGGTACCAGGGGCATCTCATGGGGCCCACTACTGACCCCGGGCCCTCAGGCAGTGCCCGAGCTTCCAAATGGTCAGTCTGCCCCTGGGCAGTATCACCCAATATCAGTTTGGGGAGTAAAGTTTGCAGGTGGCAGTTTGACTGGTCTGTGTCATATTTCTTCAAGACAGTCTGGCTTTCCATTTCATGTATTTGCCTGTCCCATCATGGCACTGTTTTGGGATGTCCCAGTTGGTGATACTGCTAGGTTGTTAGTTTAAGATTACACTTAAACTGCGAAGGCAGCTGGATGGGCTTGTAAACTTGCTGCAGCCACAATGCATGGTAAGGATTATACCCCTGCCATGTTTGGCAGGTACCACCTACTGAACACGACCCATTTTAAGCAAATGTGGCCATGCCTCAACCACGTGCAATGCATGTGGTTGCAAAGTGGTGCTCTGGGACCATGGAAATCAAGCCTAGCCACCCTCAAGCCAACAGGAATTCGGATCATGGCAGCAAAAAAAGAAATTTCGACTTTAGAAGGAGGCAAGGAACAAGAGAAGGCCCTTTTAATAAATTAAATATACATACTTGAGAAGATTTTTTTTTATTCTCACTTTGTGAATGAGAGTCGTGGCTCTCCCAGCTCTCTCTCCCTTCATTGGCATTGGAGCCATTGGCTCCTGCTACTATCAATCACAGCCTGTGAGCCAATGAGGAGAGAGTGGGGGGCGGGTCGAGCCATGCTCAGTGTGCGAATGGACAATATCCATTCACAGGAGTGAGGCTCAGGAGCGAGCCTGCTCGAGTGCCCCCACAACAAGAGGCTTGCTAATGGGGGCACTTGGCTGGAGAGGAGTAACCAGGACCACCGTCGGGGGACTGAAAAGGAGCTGCACAGAGCAGGTAAGTATGACATGTTTGTTTTTCGTTTTGTTTTTTATTTAATTACAACCTTTAGAATCACTATTGTGATGCATGCCACACCTGCCAGTTTTTGCACCACTATGACACAGAAAGCCAAATTAATTTCCTGGTTGGTGCAATCTTCCTGCCTGGAGTAATTTACTATTTTCAGTGAAAGCTTAGCTTAGAAGTACCCGACTTGTCCTGTACTAGTTAGGGAAACAAACAAAAAAAATAATTCTATGTGGCTCATAGAACTCTTTTTTTAGTTTCCCTACCTGGTACGGGACAAGTCAGGTACCTCTAAGCTTTCACTGAGAAATCTACTAAGGTTACACTCCAGTACTAATGTGTAAACCACAGAAAGGCCACTAGAGGGATGTGAAAGCTAATAAACACGCCATTACTCACTATCAGTAGATAACATACTTCCTCATCGCCTTGTTTTTTGTTTCCTTTTCAGGAATATGACAAAGAACCCCATAGACCGGAAATCTGTGAAAAATGAAACAAAAGAAAAAAGGGAATTACCAATTTTCCTTCATTTTCAAAGAGGTCCCATTTAAAAATTTAAAATTTGAGGATGATCAGCGCTGAAAAAGATGCATGGCAATGCTGACTCAATCACTTCTCACACCTCTATACTAGAATAGTAAAATATTGCACTATTAAATAAATAAAAGGACTTTAACCTCCCTGGTGGTAATCCTGAGTTTGGCTTGGGGTAAATTTTCAGTACCAAAAGCGGTAACCCCGACCTACACTTGAGATTACACTGTAGTGTAACTTACCTTGTCCCCGCGATCTCCTGATGTCCTCCCACTGCCGGCATCCTTCTTCCGCGTTCCCTTCCCTGCGAGCGCCACGACGCAGGGGGCGGAACCGACGGGAGATTCAAAAAAGTAAACAAAATATGACATACACACAATGCATTGTAATCTGTTAGGATTACATTACTGTAGCAAACCATTTCACCTCAGTTTTGTCCCTACTGCTTTGTCCTGTGCCCTGCCTGCACTTTTACCGTTCTTTCTGCCTGGAAACTTGAGAACGTCCATGGCATCCAAAAAACGTCCCTTTAGGTCAAAGGCAGTTTTAGTCCAGCTAGAGAACAGCGATAGTGAATTAGAGTCACTTGCAGAATTGAGCGATAGTGATTCATGGGGAAATTCATCATCAGACACTGAAAGTGATGACAGCGACGATTCTGCGACTGAGCGCAGTGATGTGCAAACTTGGTGCTCTGTTTCAAATTTCAGTGTTTTTAATTTGATTACATTATTGAATTAAATGTATTATTATTATATTATTATTTATTATATTATAATTTATGATTTCATGTTTCAAACTTTATCATACCTGGGATGTTTACTAGACTACAATATAAAACAACAAATTTCCATGCAAACCAATGTACCGCTTTGACCTTAAAAAACATTGATTAGTTAGACCACCAGGGAGGTTAAACAATATACAGGTAAAACTTGAAAAAATTAGAATATTGTGCAAAAGTTCATTTCTTTCAGTAATGCAACTTAAAAGGTGAAACTAATATATGAGATAGACTCATTACATGCAAAGTAAGATAGTTCAAGCTGTGATTTGTCATAATTGTGATGATTATGGCTTACAGCTCATGAAAACCCCAAATCCACAATCTCAGAAAATTAGAATATTACATGCAATCAATAAGACAAGGATTGTACATAGAACAATATCGTACCTCTGTAAATTATAAGCATGCATATGTACTCAGTACTTGGTTTGGGCCCCTTTTGCAGCAAATACTACCTCAATGCGGCATGGCATGGAAGCTATCAGCCTGTGGCACTGCTAAGGTGTTATGGAAGACCAGGATGCTTCAATAGCGGCCTTCAGCTCTTCTGCATTGTTCGGTCTCATGTCTCTCATCTTTCTCTTGGCAATGCCCCATAGATTCTCTATAGGGTTCAGGTCAGGCGAGTTTGCTGGCCAATCAAGCACAGTAATCCCACGGCCATTGAACCAGGTTTTGGTGCTTTTGGCAGTGTGGGCAGGTGCCAAGTCCTGCTGGAAAATGAAGTCAGCATCCCCATAAAGCTTATCTGCGGAAGGAAGCATGAAGTGCTCCAAAATCTCCTGGTAGACGGCTGTGTTGACCCTGGACTTAATAAAGCACAGTGGACCAACACCAGCAGATGACGTGGCTCCCCAAATCAACACAGACTGTGGAAACTTCACACTGGACTTCAAGCATCTTGCAGTGTGTGCCTCTCAATTCTTCCTCTATACTCTGCGTCCTTGGTTTCCAAATGAGATGCAAAAGTTGCTCTCATCAGAAAAGAGGATTTTGGACCACTGAGCAACAGACCAGGTCTGTTTTTCTTTAGCCCAGTTAGACGCTTCTGACATTTGTTGTTCAGGAGAGGCTTGACAAGAGGAATACGACATTTGAAGCCCATGTCCAGGATCCGTCTGTGTGTGGTGGCTCTTGATGCACTGACTCCAGCCTCAGACCACTCCTTGTGAAAGTCCCCAACATTTTTGAATGGTCTTTTCCTGACAATCCTCTCCAGGCTGCGGTCATCCCTGCTGCTTGTGCACCTTTTTCTTCCACACTTTTCCCTTCCACATAACTTTCTATTAATGTGCTTTTATACAGCACTTTGGGAACATCCAACTTCTTTTGCAATTACCTTTTGAGGCTTTCCCTCCTTATGGAGGGTGTCAATGATGGTTTTCTGCACAACTATCAGGTCAGCAGTCTTTCCCATGATTGTGATTCCTACTGAACCAGACTGAGAGACCATTTAAAGGCTCAGGAACCCTTTGCAGGTGTTATGGCTTAATTAGCTGATTAGAGTGGGACACTTTGAGCCTAGAATATTGCACCTTTTCACAATATTCTAATTTTCTGAGATTGTGGATTTGGGGTTTTCATGAGCTGTAAGCCATAATCATCACAATTATGACAAATCACAGCTTGAACTATCTTACTTTGCATGTAATGAGTCTATCTCATATATTAGTTTCACCTTTTAAGTTGCTATTACTGAAATAAATGAACTTTTGCACAATATTCTAATTTTTTGAGTTTCACCTGTATATTGCCTATATGCAGGATATAAATAGTGTGCATATCATTCATTTAGAGTGTTAGACATAGAAAATACCATGAACATTTTAGTCAGATTTGAAATTCCCTTCTTTCAAAGTCATCTGTTACATTATCAACACAGGCATGTGGTGAAGTGCATGTTCACTAAGGCCTCATGGACATGGATGCTTAGTAGTTCCTGTGTGCTGGGGCGTAAAATCCCCAGCAGGGGCCAATACAAGTAAATAACTGTACACAGCCAGGCTCAGGTAAACGTCAGTGACTGCATCAGTGTTTACCCACATGTGTGCATACAGAGCTCATTCCCAAATTTGCCACTTTCACATTCAGAGAGAAAAGCCATACAGGCAGGTAAGGCCTCATTCACATGGCTGTCAAAGCCCGTAAAGCATGGATTGGCTGTTTTTTCATGCAGAAGCCTTCAGCATTTACCCGAGCATGGCCGCGTACAGCCATTCACTTTTATTGGTGGCTGTGTGCTGCACGTGTGGCTCCCCTGGGGCCAGAAAGCGCTGGAAATTTTACTCCTCAGCACGCAGGAACTGCTAAGCGTCCATGTGCACAAGGCACAAACCTCCAGAAAACCAACATGACAGCTTTTTTTTTGTGCGCATGCTTTAACCCATTATTACATGTTTCCATAGTGATAAGATGGAGGCCAATCCAGCCAATTTGAGGTGAAACTGAAAACGTTTCAGTGTCTTTGGGCACTCTTTGGCTCCTACAGACATCCACTGGCCCTCTGATCTCAGGATAAGAATTAAAGCTGATCTCCAGGAATTGCTTTTTTTTTTTTTTAATTTACATGAATCCAGCTTGGTTACATCCAAAGCTTTATCCAGCAGGCTGCTGGGGATGCAGAAATTCACTGAAATTCACTGTAGTAGCCTGTACTATATACAGTCAGCATGGGTCTCTTCCAATGGCTGTTCAAGCAACTTGCCATCTTGTATACTGAACACAGGAGGTCACTAATTCAGCACTTTTGCCTTTCAGAGAACATCTTTTTTCAATAAATATGGCGTTCTCTGATTGAGCAAGACAGAGAGGGGAGGTGGATGACAAAGACATCAGTGCTGATTGTACGTAGCTAGCTTCATGTATCCCTTCAGATGTGAGATACAAAGAATTAAATGTGACCAAGCTGGCCGAATGTATATTTAAAAAAAAGATCATTCCTGGACTTCAGTGTTAAAGTAATT